GTGAGTACTGGATGCAGCCTTCCCGTGCCGAGCTTAGCCGATTGAGCCGCGACCAGCTCAAACAAGTCGTCGACTTCACGGTTGGACGTCAGAACTGTGGGTCTGTCACTTTCAACGGCCCAGTTGATCTAACTAGCGTTGATCTGGACAACCTTTTCACCAATATTGTGGATATCGGTCTTCGCAAGATTACTGTGTACCCCGAGGAATCGGTCAAGCCTGCCAGAGGCAAAGGACTGAACGTGCCATCTACCCTGCGGATTGAGAACTCCTGGCCCCGTGGTAGAGATAGGAAGAGCAACTCGCCTGTCACTAGTGGTCCTCTGTTCGACAAACACATTGACCGTCTGCAGAAGGTGGGCGATACTGAGTTCGTTAACTACGAGACTGAGACTGGAACCTGGGTTTTCAAGGTGCCTCATTTCACTACATATGGCCTTGATTATGATGAAGAGGAAGGTGAGAGTCTTGACCAGAGCACCATGAGTGCCCAAGGCCCTGACCACCCTACCCCCAGGGCTCACTTCGACAACCCCGCGAGTTTCGACCAATCGACTACTTTCTCCATCGATGAGTCCTTCGTCGGTTCTATGATTGGTGTTGAAGACGATACTTTCGATTTCAAAAAACGCAAGCTTGTTCCTGGCTCTTTCGCTAATCAGGCCATGCCTGCGGAGGATGATTATTTTTCTGAGGGTGAAACCGAGTCTTTTTTAGAGGAAGGCTCCACGGGTTCGACTACTGAGAATGACGACGATGTCGTCACCGAGAGCCAACAGTCTGGCGATTCGGTAGTTGGATCAGATGAGGCAGATGAAATGGATATGGCGGGTGCCTTTCCGACTCCTCATCGCACCGTGGAGCGGGACTACCAGAGCACCAACGGTGACCTGGCTACCACTTACCCTATCTCACAACACTTCGGCAGTCCTGCGAAGCCTCAGCTTGATCTTAGTGGCGACTGGGCCGAGCAGCTGCAGCGCACCATCAGCCCTCGCAAGCAGAATCGTGACGCCTTGCGTGAAATGCAGGCAAATGCTTTTATTGATCGCAACCTCGTGAACGACGAATCTCCCACGACCATTGCAACAGCCCCTCCGAAGAAGGGTTTCTCGAACAGCATTGATCTTATGAACTCTTTGTTTCAGCAGCCGCGCAAGCAAAATGCCCCTTCTCCGCTGAAGCCTTCTAAGGCACCGCCGAAGGGCTTTGAGGTTAGAACTCCCTTCTTATGTTCACACTGATTATCATTTCCTTTGTTTTTCCCTTGTGTCACTGCATCATGTATCTAGGAAATTGCACATCATCCCTCAGATAGTTTAACAAATGCGATAATCTGAGCTAAAAACTTTTTGTCCCTTACAGTGGCCTTACAACAAGCAACCCAAGACCTTTGCTGGCGATACAACACAGATGGGCGAATCCGATGCTGCTTTCCATGACTCTTTCAAACCCCGCTGGGGTCCCATGGACTCCCTCGTCTGCGCGAAAGGCGATACGGAGGACACAATCTTGGGGGTGAACCGGACCTGGAAAGAAAGTTTCTCCATTTTCAGCGAAGAGCGTGATATTGCAGTGATGGCTTACAACCAATCTGTCGAGGTATGTTTAGTGGCTTTTTTGGGCTTTGTTGGACTTTATACTGATGATGATACAGGTCAAGGAAATGCTTGATGTCCAGCGGCTTCAATCCTCTATTCAGCGCATCGACGGCACTCCTTTCGTTCGTATGGCCAAGGTCGACCTGTCACAGTTCCCTCTGTCACCGTCTACCCGTTCCCAGTCAGAGGAAGAGCGCTTGGTGTGGCAGCTTCTCAACATTCTTTTTAACGATGATATTGAAGATGACATCTCGGCGGGTGTGCCGCCGCGTCTACGAGAGCAATTTTCGCACCGGATCAAGAAGGACCGACTCACCCGTCTTTGGGAGGGAATCGTTCGTGAAAAGCATTCCCAAGACCTCGATCTGGTTCGCTCTCCCGTGGAACGCGCGGTTCATTTGATTTGTTCGCACCGAGTGGAGGAGGCGTGTAAGACACTAATCGACAGCCAAAATCCCCATCTAGCGACTATTGTCGCACAGATTGGCCGCGATGCTACCTCGCGAGCCGACATAGCCAACCAGATCGACGTATGGCGTCAGAACAATATACTCTCGGAGATGAGTGAGCCAACGCGAGCCCTTTACGAACTGGTCGCTGGAAATGCTCTCCGCAGCGAGGGAAAATCTGGCGGTGCGCTTGAAGACAGGGCCTCCAGCTTTGGCTTCACCGAACGGTTCGATCTAGATTGGTTCCAGGCCTTTGGTCTTCGTCTGTGGTATTGCACTACCGAAGATGAGCCAATTGAGGTTGCTGTCTCCAAGTTCCTTGCGGACTTGGCAACTGGACAAGAACCCGCCTTCCCCCACCCGTCACACCAGACTAGTACACATGCAGCTCTGCAGCCTGGCTCTGATACCCTTGGGCGCGAATCTCCTCTTTGGGTTCTGCTCAAGGCATTCTCAGTGATTCAAGGCCAAGCTGCCCAATCCATTGAATTCCCGGCCTCTTTCCTTCCCGAATCTGTCTCCGGTGACCGTCTCTCCAACCGACTCTCCTTCCAGCTACACCACGTTCTCGCTGCGACGGTCGGACAAAACCAGGTCATCAAAATCGACCAACATCAAACAGACAAGCTCGTCTGGGATTTCGCTTCTGAACTCAGCGCAGGCGGAAAACTTGATCAAGCACTGTTTGTCCTCCTGCACCTCTCCCAAGCCAACGACCGCAAGCGCGCTGTCCAAGAAACCCTCGCCCGGTTCGCCGCTCAACTCCCCGAGCCCTTCGCTGCCGACGGCTCCTCCCAACCGGCATGGCAATATCTCATCACTGAGCTCCAGCTCCCCGAGGCCTGGATCTGGGTTGCCAAGGCCCTGCATGCTCGCGACATCGGCGACGCTGCGCGTGAAGTCGACTGCCTTATCCGCGGCAAGCACTGGAACGACGCCCACGCCACATTCTGTCGCATCGTCGGTCCAAGTACCATTATCGAGGGCGACTACCGTACCCTCGAAGCTCTGGTCTCTGGCTTCGGCGACGGGCCCGAGCGTAAAATGCGCGGCTGGTCTTCTGGCGGCGGTGTTTACGAAGATTTCCTCCGCCTGGTCAATGCCCCCAGCGGCCGACGTGATCCAACTCGCCTGAACCGCCTGGTGAATGCCCTCGTTGCAATGGGTGATCGTGTCCGAGGATCCAGCTTGGAAGGACTGGAGGAGCGTGTTGCATTCAAGGAGATGAGCCGGGCTGTCGCCGGCTGGATTACGCACGAGGATGTTCACGTTAGTTTCCTCCCTTTTCCATTAATATATTGTTTTTCTTCATTGCTGACGTCCGTCTCACTACAGTCCGTTGAATCCTCCGCTGTTTTAGGCCTGCCCTTAACAGGTGACGCTCGCGTTTTGCAGACCGCAGAGATGAGCCGTCGGTACTACGGCGTCATCATGGCGGGTGGCTACTAAGTTTTGATAAGGAAATCATGTTCCAGTTTGCATATGTTCGTTGTGAAATTAGCGGGCATTAACTATCAGCCCGAGGACCCTGATCTTTTTCTTTTGTTTTGCTCTTTTTTTCTCTTGTTCTGTTCCCCAAATGATCTCAAATGGTTCCCATGACCTGTACTGTACTCTACCCTATTTGCTGAAAAATTACTATGTGAACCAATTCATTTCGTCCTTTCTCTGGTGTAGACACTGTAGCGGAATAAAGAATACATAGTTCGTAGTCATACCCTTGTGATCACTGACAGCTCCGCTCATTGGTTGCAAAGCTAATTACGAGCAAACATCACGAGTCCAAGTCGTGGATACCAGCGATGATAATGCGTCCCAGAACGTGATTCCTTCCAGGAAGGTCAGGAAGCTTGAAACAACGAGTTCCTCGTCTAGGTTTCTTCTGGCGTTCACAGCTACTATCACAACTTCCTGTTCCCTTCGTGGGATCTCCATTATCCCAAGGCCGCTGGCCGCTGATCTAGAGTCTCCGATATTCCAGGGAGGGATCGGCCGCATTTCTCGTCCAAACCCCGTCCACTTGTGACGGTCGTATGAATATTGTCTCTTCGTATGTGCTGATGAAGCTGTACATGCAGTTCAAATTCTGCATGTAATCGAGTAGCTGAGCTAAGGGGGTTCGAAGCGTCGCTTCATCTACGAAGGCTCGCGAATCCAGGGCACTTTCCTTCTCCGGCGACCTTGAGCTCTTGCTTGCTATTCTTTACAACAACGTCGGGCGTGTTGTAGTATAGACGAGGCTTCTGAAATCTGACAAGTGGCTGCGCCTTGGGGACATGTCAGTGGAGCGAGCTACCTGACTGTTGGGAGCGTCGTGAGAAACCACGGGCGAGTACTGAAGTTTCCCCTGCACACTGTCCGGCTTGCGGAGGAATAGTGTTTGTTGTGATTGGCAACAACATCTCCAGCATGTACCTTGCGATCTGGCCTAAGTGAGGTTTAGTTAGTACGTCCATCAATACTATAGGTTGTCATTGGACGCCGGACTCACTTCCACATCATTTAAAATCTGCGAAGTGGATATCCATTGGGCCCTTAGGACTTGTCTCGTGGAGCCAAACGACTGTTGGGATTGACTCTGCCCACCAGGCTCGTCGCCCATTTCCACGGATTCCTCCTGATTATCGCCCGTGGTTTCCGTGTAGGCTCGATAGCCTGTCGGTTCCAGACCTGAGATGTAGCTTCTACATGTAGAAAACTAGACCATTGGTGGAGCTTGCCCTTAAACTCGAGCTTGTCTAGAGCACTGGATTATGTGTGGTATTCCCCTAGCAACAGAGGAGATGTGTTGTGCGAAGTCAAAGTCTCCTTGTGCGACAATTTAGGGAAAGTGCCATTTCGGAAAGAGCTATACTTCCTTTGCTACTTTGCTACTTCTCTCCTTCACTTCTCTCTTCTACGTCTCTATACTCTCTAATATCTACTTTACCCTTGCTATTCCTTATTCATCATGGAGCTGCAACCGCTTGAAGGAACCCGTGAGGGAAAGACCGTAACAGTACCTGGTCCCTTCGAGCACACCCCGGCAGATTCCAACCTAAGGAGAGTCGACAGTGGCTATGGCCCTGGATTGACTGTTCCCATCTCAGCACCAGCCACAGATGCATCCCCCAGCAATGCCAACAACGTCCATAATCAGCCCGAAGCTGCTGCTGAGGGTGCCTCAGGCTCTCTAGCTACCGAACCTATCGAGACCACAGAAACAGCACCGGACAATTCCCAGCCGTCGTTTTCGGCATTCAGCAAATACGAAAAGTTATTCATCGTGGTAATGGTGACTCTTGCTTCGTTCTTCTCCCCTCTTTCCGGCCAAATCTACTACCCCGTCATGCCAACGCTGGTACGGAACTATCACCTCACCCCGGAGCTGATCAACCTCACAGTCGCAACATATATGATCTTCCAAGGCCTGGCCCCGAGCTTCATGGGCACATTCGCCGACACTGGGGGCAGACGCCCCGCATATATCATTGCGTTTGCAGTATACACCGCTGCCAACATCGGCTTGGCCTTCCAGAACAGTTTCGCGGCGTTGCTTGTCCTCCGCTGTCTCCAGAGCGCAGGGAGCAGCGGCACCGTGGCCTTTGGGTATGGTGTTATAGCAGACATTGCAACAACAGCGGAGCGTGGGAAGTATATCGGGCCCATGGCAGCAGGTGTTATGGTTGCGCCTGCACTGGGTCCTGTTATCGGTGGTCTTTTGGCCAAATTCCTCGGCTGGCGCAGTGTCTTCTGGTTTTTGGTCATTGTTAGTGGAGGATACTTGGTGTTCTACGTGTTTGCTATGCCAGAGACGGCGCGCAAGATTGTTGGCAACGGTCGTACAGTACCAAATGAGTGGTGGCGCAGGTCAGTCATCCAATGGTGGTCGAAGAGGCAGGCACAGTCGGATGAGGAGGGGCAAACTGGTGCAGAAGGATCCCAACAACAGTCCCCGCATGCTAAGGGACTTAGATTCCCGAATCCTCTCAGGTCCTTTGTCATTCTGCTGGAGTGGGATGCCTTGATCATCATCTCGTACGTCGGGATCGTGATGTTCTCGAATATCGCTCTGTTGACAAGCACTCCCAATCTCTTCGGTCCCCTATACGGATTCAATGAACTCCAGATTGGTCTCTGCTTCTTGTAAGTTTCTGTTCCTCGCTCTTTATCTTTCCAACCCAGGTGTCCATTGACTTAACACAAACTTCCAGACCCCTCGGAGTGAGCTCTTGCCTCGGCGCAGTCCTATATGGGAAAGTCATTGACTACAACTACAAGCGAATAGCCCAGAAGCTCGGATTCCCGGTGGATCGGAAAAAGGGAGACGACTTGCGCAGTTTTCCGATCGAGCGCACTCGCCTGCAAACAGTGTTCCCAACAATGGCCATCGGCGTTGCAGCATTCATCCCGTACGGCTGGGTCCTGCAGCAAAGAGTACACTTAGCTGCCCCGCTGGTGCTTCAGTTCATCATAGGCTTTTGCTTCGTTGCATCCCTGAACTGTCTCAACACCCTTCTTGTCGACCTGTTCCCAGATAGGCCCGCCACAGCTGCGTCGGCATGCAATCTTGTTCGCTGCTGTCTTGGTGCTGTTGGGGCTGCTGTCATTAGCCAGATGCTGAGTGGCATGGGGTGGGGATGGTGTTTCGTTTTCCTGGGGTTGGTCATGGCTGTTGGGATGGGATTGCTCTGGGTTGAGAGCGTGTATGGGATGGGCTGGAGAGAGAAGAGGTTCCTCAAGATCGAACGGAAGAAGGCGGAGAAGGAGGCGAGAGCCGCTGAGATTTGGGTCGAAGGAAAGGCCGATGGGAGAGAACAGAAGGATATCAACGTTCGAGATTTGATTGCTGGTGCTGATGCTAGTGTCACTGGAGGAACTGGAACTGATACTCGCTCAAACCAGTGAAGCGAAAGAAGGGAGATCATCATTTTGAGGGCGGTAGACTTTGTCGTTACTGTATTCCATCGCTTGTTATGAGTATATGATTAATCGCGTGATGGAAATGGAGAAAATGGGAATATGCTACATAGCACGAATGAAGACATCAAATGCATCAAATTTGCTACCGACTGTACAATAAAGGGAAACCTAGGCGCGATAGATGAACACAAGGGGATTCAGCAGAGTAAGGAAAAGAGAAACACCACCCTCCCTAGCCGGACCAGACAACAAGAAACAAGAAAAGACATTACCGGCCAGGGAGAGGGAGATATAAGAGAGGTCTAGATGTAATGATCATCCCCGACCCGTTCCTGCTTCTTTTTGAGGGGACAGCAAATGGAGAAAAAGGGTTGTAAATGGAAAAGGAAAGGTGGGAGGTGCGTTTACATGCCAGGGGAGATCAGCTTGCCCTCAGCACGGCTGTTGGGGTGCCAGCCGCCAGCGAAGGGAGCAGCGCCAAGCTCCTTCTCGTATTGGCGGATACGGGCCTCCAGCTCGGGACGGAAGTGGCGGATCAGACCCTGGATGGGCCAGGCGAAGGCCTCACCCAGAGCGCAGATAGTGTGGCCCTCGACCTGCTTGGTGAGCTCCTGGAGCATGTCGATTTCGCGCTCGCGGGCATTGCCGGTCTCGAGACGCTGCATCATCTGCATGGTCCATTTGCTGCCCTCACGGCAGGGAGTGCACTGGCCGCAAGACTCGTGCTTGTAGAAGGTAGACAGGCGGGAAATGGCGCGGACGATATCTGTGGACTTGTCCATGACGATGACGGCAGCGGTACCGAGACCGGACTGGGAGTCCTTGAGGGCGTCGAAGTCCATGAGCTGGTTGTCGGCCACGGACTTGGGGATGACGGGGGTCGAGGAGCCACCAGGGATAACGGCGAGCAGGTTGTCCCAACCACCGCGGACACCTCCACAGTGCTTCTCGATCAGCTCGCGCAGCGAGATGGACATCTCCTCCTCTACTGTGACGGGGTTGTTGACGTGACCGGAGATACAGAAAAGCTTGGTACCGGCGTTACGCTCACGGCCGAAGGAAGAGAACCAGCTGGCACCGCGGCGCATGATCGTCGGTGTCACAGCAACGGTCTCAACGTTGGTGACTGTGCTGGGGCAACCGAACAGACCAACGGCGGCGGGGAAGGGAGGCTTGAGGCGAGGCTTGCCGGCCTTACCCTCAATGGACTCAATGAGCGAGGTCTCCTCTCCACAAATGTAGGCGCCCATTCCTCGGTGAATGTACACGTCGAAGTCGTATCCGGAACCGCAGGCGTTCTTGCCGATCAGGCCAGCCTCGTAGGCCTCGTTGATAGCCCGCTGGAGAACAGTAGCTTCGTGGTAGAACTCGCCACGGATGTAGATGTAGGCGGCGTTGGCGTTCATAGCACGACCCACCACCAAGCAACCCTCGATCAGCTTCTGCGGGTCCTTGCGCATGATCTCTCGGTCCTTGCAAGTACCGGGCTCACCCTCATCTGCGTTGACAACCAGATAACGGGGGCGAGGGTCCTTGTCCCAATCCTTGAAGTTCATGAACGACTGTCGAGTAGCGGGTCAGCCCGGTTATCCCAAAACACTCGCGTTCGTCCGAAGTGCGTGTAGGCCACTTACGTATTTCAATCCTGAAGGGAAACCAGCACCACCACGGCCACGAAGACCAGATGCCTTGATTTCCGAGATGAGCTGCTCATGGAATTAGCAATTGGTAATTCCCCAGCCCGTCAATTGTGCAACAACCCACCCAATCATCACCCTTCAAAATCATATCCTTGGTCCGGTACCAGTCACCATATTTCATTGATGACTTCAAATCCGCTCCGTGGTGTCCGTAAAGGTTGGTGAAGATCCGATCTTGGTCCTGAAGTCCGCCATAGTGCTTCACGGGAGGCGCCTCCGACACAGATGCGAAGGAGCGGGCGGACGCCCCCTGGGCGCGGAGGGAGCGGGTCGAGAGGTGGGAGAGGGAGGAGGTGGAGGGAGCCGCCGCTCTGGATATCATGATGACGGCGGGGGTGACAATGCGTTGTGAGGGTCAAAGGGTCGTGGAGAAGGAGGGAAGGGAGTCGTGGAGCTCACAGGCAATTCCTGCGCTTGCTGAATGATCCGCCTTTGGGCTCGATATGATTGGGTGGTATCCCACACGTGATCAAGTTGCTGAGTCAGTATTCCAGATTTGGTCATGACGACTTCAAGTGTGTTATGTCACGTGATGAGGATATATAGGTAGGTAGAGACATGGTCACTTTAGGTGCTTCTTTCTCCAACTTGTGTCCGGATCTCCTTTCGAGGAAAACTCCCATGGCCTTTTTATCTTTTTTCCTTCTCATATTATTTTCATTATCAAGTCAGTAGGGCTAAGATAACGGATACGAAGCAACAAGCTAAACAGTGAACATCTCTTTCATTTCTATGCCTACTGCTTTCTCTTCGTTTACTCTTGTGGTACATAGAGGCATGCCTGTTTCAAAATAGACAGTGATCCTTCCATCTTGAGGATCTCAAATGGCTCGAGAGGAATCATCACCATTTCCGAGCCTGCCACTGTCCATGCCCATTGAAGCCACTCTGAGTCCAACCACCCACTATCCTCGGTAAGCCAATTAACTCCGTCACCGGGAGCCAATGAGCTTGGTTGTCCTGCCATAGCATATTGTTGGAATTGACGGAGTGTTTCGCTGGCTTCATCCACGCCAGTTTCAATAGATCTGGAAGTGTTAGAAGGCGGAGGGTATTGCTCAAGCAGGAAAGTAAACCATCGGTTGAGACGCGACGACAATGTTGACCGTGCCTCTGGCGAATTATATGTGGCGACTAGTAAGCAAATAACCATTGCAAACAGAGTTTGTGGATCGGTGGATATACTCAGGATGACCTGGCTCGCCTCTGCGAGAGCGTGCTGGAAGCATGCCTGAGCTGGCTCCTGCATTTCAGCCGGGAGAAGGCTGAAAAGCTCACCTAACCTGAACAGCTCACCATTTCTAGTGATGAGGGACGGACGCTCCAGGATACGCACTCGTATCCGGGACATGACATCGTCTGAGAGAAGGCCGGCCGGGACGCGTGCCATTAGTTCATGTAGGAGGACCTTGGTATCATCCCAACTTTCACCACGCTTGTGTTCCCTGCCGCGTGTGATTGTCCACGTAGCGATAACCAAGGCAGCCTGGTCTAATGCTATCTGTCCGTTGCGGTAGATCTGGGAGTGTGTCTGGTTCAGGGTAGCTGGCTGCAAAGGCAGATGCTCCGCACTGGCTTTCAGATTTGTGGCATGAGCCATTAGCTCGAAGCTAATCTGAGCGAGGGCAGCATAGATACCATGGCTGTTTCCATATCCCGGGGGAATGCGAATACAGCCCTCCGTGATCTCCAGCATTTTGCGCTCGCGTGGGTTCGATTCCATGACGGTCAACGCGTCGAACAATGCCGGTGAGAAGATCGAGTGCTCCATCTTTGTTTCGGGAGCCAGTAGTGGGTAAAAAGGATTGAAGATGTAATAGTGGTCCTCGATATTCTTAGCAACCTGAGGAAATAGTTCTAGCTGGCGAGCCTTGGCTTTGCCGAGCGGGCTGTCGGACTTCACACCCAGATGAACTATGCGATAATCGGTTGGGTTGCCGGCAATGCAGAATCCATAGTTTATCAACACTATGTTATAGTCAGTCTGTGGGGATTCAGGCGTCCAAAAAGATTGAATATGCCATGGCAAACGCGATACATACGTTGTTCGTTATTACGAGGGCCGTAATTGTTGGAAATTTCTTGGCCTGCTGAGTGATCTTCAAGCACAAGAAGGCCAATATCCTCATCGCCCGCTCGCCACTCAACCTTCGCCATTGGTCGATGGTTTGGGAGATCAATGAGCGGAAGCAGCGCCGAGACTCCATCCTCTGGGAGGTCATCAGGCTCGACAGCCCCAGATAGAACCTTGGACGAGAATGCTCGGGAGGTAATGATAGTTGAAGCCCAGAGATACAGCTCCCTGCATACGAATCAGCATGAGGTTTCCCCGATCTGAATAAAGAGACGGGCCATAGCAGTATCCTATACTCACCACGTATACTGCTCACAATCCGGGAATCCAATTGCATCCAACTGGAGATAGCCCAAATCATACTTCTGCTCCCATATCTTAATCCTCTCGACGGCAGCCTCAGGAATGCCAGTACCCTGGATCCAATCTACATCCTCCTCACCAAAGAACAAAGGGGTGGTCAATTGACCCGGCTGAGGCAGGGTACGAATATACGGATACCAGAATCCTTCAGGCCCTCGTAGATACTGGCCCATGAGGAAGAAGGCAAAAGTCTCCTCCGGCCCGACCTGGTCGATCCATGTCCGCGGTAGGTCAACACCGTGTTTAGGGAACGAGCCCCGTGGTGACTCGTAGCCAATGGAATTGTACCAAGACATTGACACTTTGATTGGAGTGTTTATCACCCGGGTCTCTTTCGGGATGGCTTCTGGCCAGTCTTTTTTCACTTGCAAGTGCACGCCGCGCGAGGCGTCTTGTGCGATGCGCACGCTCTTGTCAACTGTGCCACCATGCTGAACGAACCAGTTTACTAGCTCTGTGTGGGCTTTTAGCCTTGGGTCGACTTCTCTGTTTCGTTTGTGTTAGATATCCTTAATGTTCTTGGTTCGCAAATACCCTTGAGAATGACGTATCTTTAGACCGCACTTACTCCAAGGAAGCTGCCATTTTTTTGAAGCAGGTAGATCCTATTTGATATCTATTTTTTTTTCACAGGTATAACAGCTTGCTACCGACGCTGTTATGCAAGAATGAACCGACTGTGTTGTATCGGTCAAAGTCCTGAGGAAGAATTGATGGGGGATGGTGAGGACCCGCTTTTTCTCTTCGAGATTCAACGTGCTTCTTTACACGTTTAAGAACGATTATGAAATAATAGACTCTCACTCTGATCTACGAGGAATTGCTAGCAATTGCTTAAACTAAATCAAATCGCTTCTCCAGACTTCAACTATCGTACACAGGCGAATGCCAACAATCAAAAGCCACGGACTCGTAAGCCGATCCCAGGCAGGTAGCATGCGAATACATGCAAGGAGACACATAAAACATCAGATCAGAAAAGCTCTCCATGCAGAACTTGAGGATCATAAATGCAAAACCCCATGGCTACTCCATCGATGGAAAAGTGTATATACAAACGCCATGCCGCGACGACGACTCGCGTAAAAAACCCCACCGTTTCTCCTGGCAGGACGTACCGTCACGGCCATGCAATCAAATGCAAAGAGTCCAAGCTTAGTTCGAGGTCGAGGACTTGCGGCCAGGGACCACGATTTCAACCAATCCGTCATCCTCACCATCACTGCTGTCGTTTTGCTCCTCGTCATAATGGGAGCTCACAGCCCGGGATCGGCGGAAGTTGCTGTATCGGGCAGGGCCCGAGAGGTTGGAGTAACCGAGCGATTCATTTATGATAGCCTCGTCTTCTTCGTCGTCGGAGTCCATCATGCCAATGCCACTCGGTCCGACCATCTCGCCCATCTCATCATCGTCGTCATCCTCGACTTCGAGGGGGACGCGAACCTGGCGCCTCACGGATTCTGCATGGCCGTCACCTTCATCTTCAGATGAGTTAGTCGACAGCGAGTCTGGAGGGCTGAATCCCGATTCTGGGAAGGTAGGTGAGTGCTTGGCATTGGCTGAACCAAAGTCACTGTTAGGGAACGCAGAACTGCCTCCCTCGGCATCATCATCAACTCCTGCAATTACGAATGGGTTTCTCGGCCAGTCTGACGCTCGCTCCTCACTTCCTTCGGCCACTCTGTCTTCCGCTTCGCCCTCTGATGGTTGTTGCTTTTGGGCGGCAAGGCGCGCGGCTAACTGACGGCGCGCTCGGGATGGCCCGAGGCTCAACGGAGCAGGTGGCGGGGGTAGGATAGGAATAGGTTGACTGGCTGAACTTGTCAACACCTATTTTAAAGTTATGTTAGTAAAGATACAATACATCTGACAGCTCACGGCCTGTGAAGGGAAGGGGAAAAAAGAGCATAAGAAACCCAGTGCAGAACGAAAGTGACACAGGGGAGATTCTCTGGGCTGGGATTTGCAAGGCGTCGGCAATGAACATCGGCTAACAAGCATAATAGAGTTTCGGTCAAAACCACAGGGATTACATGAAGGGGCGTACAATGTGAGCCACCAGGGCAGATAAACATTCCAGATGTGCGTGGGAAGTCGGTGACTCCATTGGACAAGCGCTAGCGTTCCAGCAACGCTACCTGGAAATATGGCTCGTTGCGTCACGCTATAGCTTTGATACATGGGGGGAGAGATAAAAATCTGGGAAGAGAAATGGAGAAGAGAGAGGAGGATATTGGGGGATGCACAGAGTCGGTTAAGAATCGTGCACCATTATGTCAATCGGGAAGAGGTCACCCACATTGTCAGTGTCGCCTTGATCGGCATTGCCAGAGTCTCTGTCATCCTGATCCTCCATTTCTTCGTCCTCGTCGTCGCTTGAGCTGGCAAAGCCACTCAAAAGGGAGGTGCCACCTCCACCGAATGCTCCACCAGAAACATTTCCTTGGCCAAGGTCGAAGCTCTGGAAGGTTGAACCACCGATTCCCCCATTCAATCCTGCGTCCGCCAGAGCATTGGAGTTAGAAAAGCCTTGGCCAGAGTTGGTGTTGTTAAGGCTAGTTTGGCGAGACCCAACCGACATATCAGGACGAACACCGCCGAGAATTGCATTGTCCCGCTCGCGAGTCTCTGACAAAGTCTGTTCGACGTACTCAATCCATTCAGGGTTCAACACGCTCTCCATAACTGACCGTGAAAGCAACTCTGGCGGATGACGCTCGCTGAACTTGACGACTTCCTCCGCAACAAGTGTAAGGTGTCCCATATATCCGAGGCGGATTTGCTTGGTCCGCTGGGTCTCATCACTGCGCTTCTGTCCTTCAACAATCGCGGTGGTGATCCGTCCGGTGTCAAATACATCGACGGCGAGTGCCCGGTTGTAGCCACGCTCCATGGGCCCATTAAAGACTTGCTGAATCACATCGTAAACAACATTATGAAGGAAGTTATTCCACGGGAAACGGAAGAAGAAGCCCTATAGATGGTTAGCATACGTGCTCAGCGTTTTCCAAAAGAAATACAAACCAGGATTGTTGGGACCACTTTGTTCTCCACGAACTGGATCTTCAAGTAATCACCGACCACGGGTCGCCCATCGGTATCGAGTTGAATGTATTGTTCGGCCGCATCCTCGTCGCCTCCATCATTCATAATGCTTATTTCTTCAGCCTGTGCAGTAACACTAGATGCTTCTTCCGATTGATCGGCAGGGACTAAGTTTGACTCCGATGCTTGTTCCTTCGAGAAGAGAGGAGCTGGAACATCCTGAGAGAGAGAAGACACGGGTTGCTGGCTGTCCTTTCCGGGCTTTTGCTGCTCGCCTTCTGGTTGTTCATTTTCAAGATTCATACCGCCAATTTGGTCAGGGAGACCAACAGTAGGCGACGAGGGCTCGATGGGTGCGACTGAACTTCCGGATGGACTTGCGGTTTCTTCGGAAGACGCCGGCTCTGTTGCTGTAACCTCCGGTGGGGGAATTTCGTCGGCCGTCTCTGTTGGCTGCGAGTTCGCAGTGATGGTTGTGTCGGCGCCAGGTTTTGCGCCCACTAAATCACCAGATGCACCAACATCCTCAAACCCTTCTTCTTCGCCCGCGCGTGGCATTTCTGTGATCTTGACATCTTCTGGTGATCCAGAACCGAAGGCTGAATCGTTTGCGAAATCGGCCGTGGTATCATTATAATCAACTCCGGAATGCTCGTCTCGGTGTGAATTGAAAACTCCTTCGCGGATCAACCGCTCACGCTCTTCATCTCTCTGCCTGACGTACTCATCACTGCCTGGTTCATTCAGAAGACCCATATTACTGCAATGAAGCAGCTCTGCCATCAATTCACACGTCTTGAATCGGTCGAAGCCAAGCGGCTCAATTTGTGCACCCCATGCAGAGTTCAAATTTCCTCGCTCAACAGTCTTGAGCTTATTCCCATCATGAACAGTGTGTTGAGAACTTTGAATGAGAGCCATGAACTGGGGAATATGTTTGGCAAAGAGACGCAGCAACGTTCCAAGGTAGATTGGGTCGTAAGTGGTGAGCATTGTATCGGGTCCACCAAGAGACTCCGGATCATAGTCGGAATTGTTTTTGCGAATTACCTCAATGACAATACCCACACCCACGGTCAGAGGATTACCGCCCTTGAGCATAGCATCGATGAGCTGCTGTGCACACTGGTTCGAGACAAGCTGACGTGTCAAACTGTTAGGACCAATACATGACTGGTCATTCGGGCTTGCGTTTGCAGATATAGTGATGATCGCTTTCAGGAAGTCACCGGCCGAGGTTTGAACGGATGCCGGACGATCGGGCGACAAGAAACACAGAAGATTGGGGATCAAATCCTGGGATTTGAGCCAGTCGACGGTACCCTGGCCACCCTCCGCCTTCTCAAGGCTGATAATCTTCAGGAGTAGATCCATGACCATCGGGTTATCAACATGTTGCAACAATGCCGGGACAATTCCATCGAGGGTCTTGAGGAAATCCAGCATCTCCTCGGTCTTCTTATCAAGCAAAGTCTCGTTTACTTTCGTGAAGTAGCTTGCCTGCAATGAATCAAGAGGTGGTGGTCGTCGCAGGAAGCCCCAGAAGTCTCGCAAGTATGAAGGGTTGGCCATCATAGATTCGAGGATGGACCAGGTCTCTGATGAGAGAACCTCACAAGCGATATAGGCATGCTTCAGACGATTCTTCTCAACTTTGTCTAAGTCATCCGGGTCAAGAATATCCCTCAGCGGATCCCCTTCCTTCTCCTCGTCTGTGTCCGTCTGCTCCGCGAAAGCAGTAGCATCCTTGTCCTTCTCTGAAGCGTCTTTCGCGTCATGTTCATCGTACTCTTCGTCATCATTCACCAGGCTCGGTGCAGTGACATAGTCCATAAGCCGTTTCAAGACATGATCCTCGCGCAGGTATTCAATGAGTTTCGTATTAAGCTGTTTCAGTTCTTGAATGATCTCAGGCTCGTCTAGGAGTTCCTCGAGGGTGACATCGGGTTTGTCGAGCAGGGTATCGATGGTGGAGATATTCGCATATCCCCCGAAGCGCCAAAACATGATGGAGTGTATAGCCGAGGGAAATGATTCATAAAATGGATTCGTTTCGTTCGTCTCCGAGATGTCGTAACGGAGCAGTCTATGATACAAGGGTTGATCGAAAGATCGGGCAGGAGGTTGCGCGACAGGCCGACACACCGGCAAGCCAAGCGTGGTGTCCACACACAGAGACCAGGTCGCGCCGGTCGAGTGGGGTGCGCTCGACCGTCAGGGCCGATCTATGACTGGAGCTAGAGAAGTAATCGATGGAAAATTGAAGCGATCTAGCGCTGTATAAATAGAGAATGTATTAGCAATCAGGTTCACACACTTACATCACCAGCAGACCCGATGATGTGTACCCGTGCAGCAGGCCGCCTTCACCGAGTGGGTACGACAGACGGAGTCGGAGGATCTGGTCAAGGGGATTTGTAGGAGCAGAAAACAGAGCCCTTGATGGAGTGTACCTTCAATCTCAGGGAATGACGAAGGAGAGAAATCCGAAACTCCCTGTGGGTTTGGAGAGGGGGAGATGAAGAAATGGGGAGTGGAGTTGGAGAGTCAAAATGGCAGACTCGAGGCGCACACACACAGAGAGACGGGAATGGTGACTCAACACCTGTCCATCAAGGAAGCAGTTGAAGAGAGAAGAGAGAGGTTCCGCTTCGGGGGAAGCTGTGCTGATCGATTACCGATCCCTGATGGCCACGAGCCCTGTAGAGGCAGGGGCGGAAACACGTATGTAATCACCGCGGGGATAAAAGCCTCCAGATAAAAATGAATTACAAGATCCCTAAATATATGGGACTCTGAGGAGAATTATATGTTTATTATGTCCCTTTTTTTATCTTACTTATCTATTCCTGTGCTTTTAAATTTCCATCTCATCTCATCATGGGGTCAGCTGCATCAAAATGACGGTGGGTACTAGGTACGACACTTCCCCGCCAGATTTGTGTGCTAAATGAAGTATGGAATACTTTCAGCGTCCTGTCCCACGTAGTAGCCCAAGTTAACTGCCACTGTGAATACAAGGATCTAGATCCCAGCTGATAGTATATGATCTGACGGTTTCGCTCCATAAACTTTTGTAGAATTCCATAGCAAACACCTCCCCACTAAGGTGAAACCGGGCTAGAATTTGGTATAATAACCATGAGGACTGAAACTTTGCTTGTACTTTATGATCACGTGGGCGTTGTGGCCTCAGGCATCACATGTTGCTCGTAGGGCTCGTGGATAGTTCTGGCCTCCAATACAACGATCAGGTGCAGAATCACAGACATAGATTATATCCTTTTTCAAGGACTGTACAAGCGGCGGCCATAAACAGCTGAGTGGGGGAAAAGGGATATAACTAAAATAATCCATATCAACGCCACCAATAGTCCCATCAACGCCATTGAACACATATCAGTAATGGCCCATATCATCGTTCTTGTGGACTGCAATAATGTTCATTCGTGCCTGCATCTATCAGTGCTCCAAGATTAAGATGCCAATTGGATTTGTTCGGTCAAGATTCTCATCATCACTTCTAAAGATATTTCATCTGCAGTCGGTCCAGCAAGTCCGACATGAAAAATCTCGTATCAAACATTGAGGGCTCTAGTTGCCGAACTAGGCCAACACTTGGAGTGATTTTGCCGCATGGGAGCCGTCAATTTCGAAACGTGCATACGGCACATTCTAGGTTGTAACTATAAAGGGCGAGCTTGGTGCGGTAACACGGGATCAATATTCCAGCATTTCTCGTATTCTTGTATATGTATAGCATTTTCACTAAATGTATATTCTAACAGTGGCTAAACTAAGAGAAAGGCTAGCGACTCTCTTCGCCTGTATTTTGCATGAGGGTATAATGGCGGTTCTTAGTTGGTCCTCTATGTATTTGTAGATATCATACTTGATTAAACATTCTATCGTTTCCTCCGGATTGGTAGATGGGGGGATCACTTCGAGGATTCTAGAAAGACTTTACAAGGAGGAGGTGAACTTGGTCGATTATCGCTACAAAAATGATTACACTGCTAATCCCTCATCCTTTCCCTTAGTTCACCAGACGGCCTTATTATCTTGTTTTCAGATTGGCCCCTCGTTAACATTTTACCTTACTACAGACAGCTCTGTAGACAGGAACAATGTGATAAACTGTCATTCGTGAGCTGGCTATCATTTACAGATACCTCCAATTCGTCCCTTTCCGAGATTACAAGAAATCGAATTAACCACAACATGCATTGGGGGTTTCTCCTAACAAAGTAAACACTGTATCTTTTCCTTTTGAAACTTCTACTGTACACGTACGCCTCGTTAGGAAAGGGAGATGCAGCCCTAGAGGGAGTCTCTTTCCCACTTCCACCTAAAGTACGGAACGAGAGAAAGGCAAGCACAAGAGAAAACGCATTCTTAGACAGCGGACGCACTCCTATCAACAACTAAGTTACGTCGCCACCTTCTATCAAGATGTTGCTACCCATTGAGCCTGCGATACAGAGTCGTGTGATGTCTACTAACTTTTGTTATCATGACATCAATAGCAACAGGAACGTTGCCAAGAACGCCATGCAGGACTTCAAGGCGCTACGCAGGATGCTAGTGTCTCTATAGCGCGGGCACGACGCCACCCGCGTAACTGCCGCACTGTAGACATTTCCATTCCGGGGAAGGCCTGCATTGTGCGTCAGTACCAGGTCCTCTGGGATGAGAAAAAGGCATCGGTGATTTAACAATGTTTGACATTTCCTCCTGCTGTGATAGCCTTTACAACAGCTTTTACTACCAGGCAAAAGCATCCTCGTCTAGTCTGTCAGATATCTTTCGTAGTTGATCTTCTGTCTGTGGTCACTTATTCCTTCACCGGCCGACTAGTTGTGCTCAGGCACCTGGCTTTTGATTGACAACACACCAGGTTCTGCCTAGCTCAAATTGCGACTGATATCACCCTGCAGTAATAACTGCATGATCATTACGCAATTACTTAAGAAGGCCTATCAGGTTAGATAATTTTGATTGGTTTTATTGATGGATAGGTTTATGGATGGACCAGCCTCTGTTTCAGATTGCGTTCATGCCATCTTATGTCCCTGTAGATCTGCAGATCAGTCTTCGGGTAACCTTTGATAGCACTGTTGGCGCAATGCTAGCGACGACCCGCTTCCAGGGTTGCCAATGCCACATGGGCTACACGGAAGGGGTTAAAGCGAAAACTGATTAAACTCAATATAACTTCTTAATTCGAAAGCACTGTGGGTTGAATTAAATTAAGATTTAAGACATCTGTCAGAAGGACGCGTATATCAAATATCAAAGCTTACTCTCCAGTTACTACTCTGAATAACGCCTATATACAAACCGAAGCCTATCAGCAATTCATACTGAATACTATTGACAATTCGTAATGAATCCTACTAGCAATTTGTAATACAGGGTGCGGTATTAGAAGAAAGATGTCTGTTTATCGTGGTTGAAACATTCAAGTTTTATTGTATAAAAAATGAATTTAGCTTTTAACCGTGCCGTGCCTAAACCCTAAAAGGCAGTTCGGGCAAGCCCCCGGGCCCGCCTCGATTGGACCTATCCAGGTAATAATCCCCCGGTCAGCCTCAATTGTGCCTATATAGGTAAAGATTCTCCGAACAATCTCCATTCCAAATGGGCCAACATTGAGTGTCCAGGATAGGATAGGTTCGTCTGCTTGAAACACTAGGGTGGGGTGAGTTCACAGACATTACGGGCGGCATTACATTTTGTAGGATGTTCCGTGGATAAGATTAATCAAGAATCCCGGCATATGTCGTAATGGGTCAAATTATAGTTTCATGTTGATTCCAAGCGTCCATGGGTAGAGCACAGACGAAGTAGAAATATCAGCGACATGTCGAACTTATAAGAGAGAAGCATCTCTCATGTAGCACTCTCAACACCCAACTTTCTTTCCTTCCTTCTTTCATTCATTCCTTCTTTCTAGCTCTTGTGTTCCATCATGTTCACCAAACTTTCACTCTTTTCTCTTTTTGCCTCGACGCTGGCCGCCGGGTTGTCCTACGACAACATTGACAAGGCCGCCACTCCACGAGCCAAGGAGCTCCTCAAGTATGTTCAGTCTCAGTACGGCTCGCACTACATTTCTGGTCAGCAGGAATTGGCCAGTCTGGAGTGGGTGAAGAAGAACACCGGCTCCACTCCGGCCATCCTGGGCACCGACCTCATGTATTACTCGCCCTCTGCCGTTGCCCACGGAAGCAAGAGTGAGACCGTCGAGCAAGCCATCCAATTTGACAAGGAAGGCGGTATCAATGCTCTTGTCTGGCACTGGTACGCCCCTAACTGTCTGCTCGAGACCGAAAAAGAGCCATGGTACAAAGGGTTCTACACCGAGGGAACCTGCTTCAATGTGGCCAATGCGCTTGGCTACCGTGGGAACGCAACAGCCCACCGCGGCAACGGAACGGACTACCGACTATTGATTCGGGATATCGATGCTATTGCGGCCCAGCTCAAGCGTCTGTCTGATGCAGACGTTCCGATTCTTTTCCGCCCTCTCCACGAACCGGAGGGTGGATGGTTCTGGTGGGGAGCTCAAGGCCCAGCTCCCTTCAAGAAGCTCTGGAACATCCTCTACGACCGCATCACCCGTGTGCACAATATCCACAACATTGTCTGGGTCTGCAACACTGCCGATTCCAAGTGGTACCCTGGAAACGACAAGTGCGATATTGCCACCGTTGACCACTATGCCGACGCCGGTGACCACGGTGTCCTCGAGGATAAATTCCACGCGCTGCAGAGGGTTACTAAGGGTGAGAGAGTTCTTGCGCTGGCGGAAGTTGGTTCCATCCCCGATGCTCAGCTTCAGGCTAAAGAAAACATTCCCTGGGCCTACTGGATGAGCTGGAATGACGAGTTCGTCAAGGATGGGAAGCACAACTCCAAGAAATTCCTGAAGGATACCTTGAACAGCAAGCTCGTTGTTACCGTCGAAGATAAGAAGAACTGAAGCGGGCTTGGGCCTTAGCCGGGGAACCATAGATCTATGATCTGTGGCCATGTTCTGCTAACCTGTACGATTAGCTGGATGTGGATTGAGGTTCTTTTCATTTGTGTTGTGCAAGGCTCTATCGAGTAGCGGCCTTGTAAGTCCATTCTTTTGCTTCTGTGTTTACACATTTTACTTTCTGTTGCGATGCCTCATGTGAGAGATTGCGTGTGGCAGGCTTCCCACCTTAGATATCCTAGAGAGATAGTTTCTTTATTTTAAACCACCTATCTCTCTCTTTTTTCCCCTACTTCCTCTCCTAAGAGGTAACTTCAGTAGGTTCTATGGCCTTCCTCCTTCTAGTAATAGTGAATTGTAGAAAGACACTTGTTAGGTTTACATGCTCATACAGCCGTAGCCTTGCTTCTTTTAGCATCTATCCGTGTATCTTGCATTCAGTGCGTATTTTGACGTCTTTCACCAGAAGCCTTCGCAGAGGCTATGAACCCTCATAGCTCGCTTTTGTTACCTTTACCATCCCCATTCTCATTTCCCTGCATTTTTGACTTCTAGCACCTTACTTTCTTATTGACTTGTATCCATTTAGATCGAGCCCACATCATTGAGGCCTCTTGGCTCACTTTCCATCTTCATTATCCAGGAATTGCGACATTCAGTCGTTTATTCTGTGTCATCATTTTAAACAGCTAAACCACCATATTAATCCAACTGACCAGAATGCTTCGAGCATCAGGCGAACTTAAATGCTACCTGTCCCCCAGCGATTCACGTAGCTTTACATAGACGAAGTTTACAAAATATATTTCTTGATGAATTCTTGTATTAGTGCCTATTGCTTCATCTGGGGTGTGGCTGCAGGCTGGATGGCCAACTTCCGAGGGTTAGAGCCGAACATGAAGACAAAAAAATCGATTCCAAAATTACATGATTGCATGGCTGCTCCAGGGCTATATATATGCATATGTAGGAAACGATGTGCGTATACTATGAACTGAGACATGAAGTGGGAGATAAGGAAGCATCGCCCGCTGTGGGAAGCGGAGCAACCCTAAAACCTCACATGGGAAATGGCACTGCCCTGTGTGGATGAATGGCTGGGCGGGCATTTGGCCTAGCTGTTGTCGTTGGCGACATTTGGCGCGTTGCCCCTTGGATCCCCGTCCATCCTCAGTTTGAGTGCCGTTTGATCTCAAGCTGCCGGATCGCCTACGGGCGATGACTTATTCTTTCATTTGGAAACTTTCCCAAGAACAATGCTTCCATACAAGAGTACGTACACAGTATGAGCACCGCAAAGACCAAGACCTAAGCCACTATTTTTGGAAAATACCATTGTTAAGTCTAGCTTGTCCTTCCGAACCTAGGTCTGGTTGGAAGCAGGGAGTGTCTCTTCTGTAAACTTGCTACGCCATCATTATTTTTCCGATAACTAAAAAGGAATATGTCCTCGGGGCTTTGCAACATCAGTAGAGGTCGGTCTTATGGACCAGCGATTATCCATGCATTGGCAATTCGAGCACAACCTTGCCTCTGTATCCTTAGCCCAATTTTGGTGCCATTGAGCACTGCGGGTCAATAGCGAGCTTAACGAGAGAGATGGCCAAACTTCACAAGCCGGAGGATTAGAGCCGAGGTACCTCAAAAGGATATCAGGCCAGACGACGCCACAGGTGGGAACCTACCCCAGGTCGGATGCACAAGTGCAGCCCTACCCAGGCGGACCGTGGGACGTCCCGACCTCGGATGGTCAGATTAGTGAGCTTATATAATAAGGGTCGTGCTCAGTTTTACTCGGTGAGGGAAAAGCGGCAAGCTAAACCGGAAAGGGAAAGCCAAGAAGTGGAAGGAAATCCGGTACCTACTGTACATACACGCATGCACTTGTGTATATAGGGAACAATCAAGACTTGTGCTTTATTCTATATTTTGCGAGCTTTTACCAGAAGTGCATTGTCCCAGCTATTGGTAAATTACCATCTCGGCCCGCCGATCACAGTTTTATTGAGCACTGGCCACGCGTGGTCTGGAATCGCTACCAAGACCGCTGCCTATTTGCCCTCGCCGTCACCTTTCAATACTAACCTCTCCACCCAATCCACCATCATGAATCGACTATTTGGCACAAAGAGCGCAGGCCCCAAACCGACCCTTGAAGGTGCTATTAACAATGTACGATGCTTGCACAAGCCAGATCCAAGGCACCCATTCCCGCCCCTCAAGCTACCCCACTAACGATACAACAGGTCGACACTCGAGTTTCCAGCATAGATGTGAAGCTAGCAGCGCTCAACTCCGAACTCTCCACATACCAGACCAAGATGTCCAAGATGCGCGATGGGCCGGGCAAGAATGCCCTTCGACAGAAAGCGCTCAAGGTCCTTCAGCGACGAAAACAATACGAGGCGCAGCGAGATCAACTCTCCCAACAATCATGGAACATGGAGCAGGCGGGCATGATGCAGGATAATTTGAAGAATGTGATGACGACGGTGGACGCGATGAAGACCACGACCAAGGAACTCAAGAAGCAATATGGCAAGGTCGACGTGGATAAGATCGAGCAGATGCAGGATGAGATGGCAGATCTGATGGAGGTCGGGAAAGAGATTCAAGAAAGTATCTCCCAGGCCTATGATGTCCCTGAGGATGTTGATGAAGCCGAGTTGGATGCAGAGCTTGAGGCGCTGGGGGAGGAATCCATGTTTGAGAGCAGCATGGGCGAGAGTGCTATGCCGAGCTTCTTACAGGATGAAGTGGCTCCCCCGCAGTTTATTGATGAGCCACCGGAAGAGCATAAGGTCAAGGAAGCCGCAGGTGGACTTGGATAAGACTAATGTTAAAGCGTGCTTTTGTTTAGCGGCAACTATGTGTTCTTCTATGTCAAGGCGCAGGCAGCGGAGTTGATTGGGTGTTTATTTTAACTTGCAATAAGCTACTCTCATATCATATTTGAAGCTCTCATTCATCTTGCGTCATATCATAGCGATCAGCATCTACATTATCAACCCCCGTAGATTTGTTTTCGCTGTAACCAGGACGTGCTTGGCCATTCCTCTCGTCCCAGGTGCGTGTTTATGTGTCTGTGTCCCATGGAACGAATCATCACCTAGAGACTAAGATGCTTTGCCCATTCCCACCAGCACCAGCAGGGCGACATTCATCACAACGATGACAATCCACACAAGGACCGCAACCACCGAAGTGAGTAAATTATTCCGCATCGGAACTGTCACCACATCAACTTCGCCCTCTTGTCCGGAAGCTTCTTCGGTCCGAACAGTCATATAGCGATTGAGGCAAGTAAACCAGATAAGTGGCGCTGAGACAAACGGCAGAATAACGCTCAAAACAACCTGACTCGCAGTCAAGGTCCTGTCAATGCCCTCCTTGCCAACAGCCGCAGCAATGATGATGCTGGGAATGATACTGATCGAGCGCGTGATGAGTCTTCGAAGCCATGGTCGAATGCTCCAGTTCAGCATCCCCTCGCTCACCATTTGGCCAGCGATTGTGCAGACGATGCCAGCGGAAATGCCTGACAGTAACAGGGCGAGAGCAAATACCAAACCGGCAGCTGGTGCGATCGACTTTGAGAGCAAGCTATGAATTCCGAATAGGTCGGCATTGTCTCCGCCAGGAACATCATAGAGAGCAGCACCCGCAACAATTAGGATTGCACTGTTCACAAACAGGGCGAATGTGAAAAGTGACAGCGACAACTCGATGATCGAATACTTCATGCAGCCACGGATTGCATGGATCGTTGGGCGATATTTTACTTCGCCGTCGGCGTTCCCTAGGGGCACAGATGTCTCCACGTAACCACAGTTGACGTCGAATTCCTTGAGGCGGGATTGAACCACGCCGCTACCAAGAAATAGGGAGTGTGGCATAACGGTGGCACCGAGGATTCCACAACTTTGGTAAAGACTGAAGATGCGTTAATAGCTGAATACTCTTCGGAGGCAGCCAAACGGCAGATTAGACAGACTTACCCTTCTGATTGGACGATGGCTGAAGATGGCAGATATCCGCGGAATACTTCACCAACTGACTGGTCCTTTATGAGAGAGAGCTGAATGCAAAAGCACACAACCACACCTAACACCAAGGCCATGACAAAGAACTCGAACAGTCGAAGCCCCCACATCTTCCCATTGGGTCTGTAGAAAATGAGGATGAAGAGAACATCCACCAATGTGATAGCACAACCAGCTACCAAGGGGATATTCAACAGTAGGTTCAACGCGATCGCTGATCCGACCACCTTTCAAATTTGTCAATATCTCAATTAAAAACCTCTAGAGCAAAAGCCGACACTCACCTCTGCAATATCAGTTGCAATAATGGCGGCTTCGGCCATGATATAGAGAAGAATTACTATCCATCTCGGAAGATGCTCTCGGCAATTTTCAGCCAGGTTCAGACCAGTCACAGAGCCCAGCTTGATACATAGAGACTGCAGAAGAATCGCAAATAGGTTGGAAAGGAGAACAATAAACAACAAGGCGTACTTGAAGTCTGCACCAGCTGCAACATCGGTGGCGTAATTTCCAGGGTCGATATAGGCAACCGCGATGAGGAAACCAGGGCCGATGAAACGGCTGAATTTGGCCAGGGTTCGAGTGTAGTAGAGAGAATAAGACGTCAAACTAGTATAAAAAGGGTGGCGAGGTGATCCGCTGCTCCTTGGGGGTGAATCACCTCCCGAGTCCGCAGCGATCACTCCGCCACTTGGCACCTTTTCTTTCCCAGGGTCTCGATCTTGTTGACTGTTCGGTCTGACATCGATGGATAACGGATCATCTCCTGCTGCATTGGCAGAATTGGCATGTCTGCGATGGACTCTAGAATTGGCAAGACCATTGAAGTCATTCCGGGTAGTGGTGTCTGGGCTAAAGGTTGGTGGGCTTTGATTCCAGCTCGGGTTGTCGAGTGTGTCGTCAGTCCGCGAGGGGCAATTCATGGCTGCAGGCTTGGCTCGGATGTAGGCTTGGCTG